TGCTTCAGTAAAGTTGGGAAAAATACACAACTGGAATATAGGTATTAATATTGTCTCATAAACGAACTTTAGTTGTAGTTCCATAGTTTCTTAAAAGAAGAAAGAACTGCATTTTATGTACCTTCTGTATCTGCATAAAGGAAAGAAAGACATTAATGACAAAAAGACAAATAAATCTTTATATCTGAATTTATTTTGAATATTGAAATATGTGGATGAAAAAATAAAAGAAACAAAAATCAAAATTTAATTATTACAATTCCAATTACAGTGTAAACATTCTGTACTTTCACCATCTATTTTTCTTAGTTAATTCAATTTGCCTAATCTTAAGCATAATAAGCTGCTCTTTTTAATCTTCTCCCATTTATCTCTTTAATTTCAGAGCTGCCTTGATTACCGAAACATTTGTTGAACAGTGTCCCCCACTTGCAGAATGAAAGAGAACAAGTTTTTATTGCGCGGGAACATTAAACCGATTTGGAAATTGCAGTATGAATTGTTAAAAACGAACTTTACAGAGATACTTCAATATGTTGGGGGACTCACAAATAAATAAAAAAAATAATGCAGACGTTTAGTCTCTATGGGTTGACCTCTACTAGGTCTCCCATAATGAATCACTTTTCATTAGATCATCTCTGCCTCCAAAATGCACACTTCTTTCAAACAGCACACATTAATTCTCTAAGGCGGTCTTTATGTTAAAGGCCTCATTAGGTGCTGGTGTTTTGCTTAAGTAGCCTCTAGATGCTAACTTTAGCTATTGTGGGGTAAAGTCATGGTAGTTTGCCAGCATATGCATGCCTTCCCACTAGGGGTGGGAATTGCAGGGTTCCACACGATACATGGCTCACGATAACGATAATATCACAATAAAGCAATTCTGCGATAATGGATATATTGCTAGACAATCCTAAAATGACACATACTGAGATCTGTCTACCTACGAATACAAAATGCCCACGAAAAAGTTTTCTCTAGTCATTCCAAACTGTTTTAAAACAGCACAGTTCTGCAGCACACTGTATATTTAAATTACAGAACTATGAAAAATTATTATAAAAACATTTCTTTATAAAAGGCACATAAAAATGCAAATTCACTGAATTTTTGGCTGAAAATACAAATTTCTGTGTACCACCTAAGTCTAATATGTTCATCACATTATAGTGATAACTGTTCAGTGACATTGACACTGTTCAAGACACTGAAGTTAGCAGCTCTTTGGTATTTCACAATTTCGCGATCGCAATGCTAATGTCCATTAGAACATTGATGGGGATTCCCATTATATGTTAGCATTGAGCTAAACGTCAAAGCGCAATTTTTTTGGTATAACATTATCAATATGATGGCCTGAAATATCAATACAGTATCATGGAAAAATGTATAAAGATATATTGCTGTATTGATTTTTTTTGGCACACCCCTACTTCACACCTAAATAACTTTAGATGGATAACTAGCAAACTCCATACTAAAAGTAAAGCATACATTCCAGATTATGTTCTCCAGACATAAATATGATTATCTATAGTTGTCAGATGAAGTTTAAAATGCATATATGTGAGTACTGAGATACTTGACCCTAAAAAGCAACCAGCAAAACATTCACAAGTGCCAACATTTTTGCAAGAAAGGTGGTCTTGTAGGTCTGTAAGAACTATAAGAAGAGAAACTTTCTTCATCTTCATCCTCATCCTTTTGCTCATCTCGTCTCTCGTAACCAGCTCTGTCTCCATGGGGCTTTTTGGAGTCAGGCTTTGAGGAAATGAATCATTTCTGATATGATCCTCATGCTCTCTGCTTCCTTCCTTTCACTCTGTCAGTGTTTTACTTTTTTTCCCTTATATCTCTTTTTGGCCATTTTTAAACTTCCCATTCTATGTGGGCTTCTTTTATTCTTCTCCATTTTCTCTGGATTCTTCTGTATTCCCTCCTCCAGTCTCCCCCTGCAGCTCCATCACCTTCAGTCACTTTACTTTTTTAAACCTTCTTCTCTGTGTAACTCTTTTATTCTGTTGCATTTATCCTTCCCTATACATATTCTTCCATCTTCTTTTTTCTCGTTTCATTTTACGCTCATTCTGACTTTTCTTTTAGTATTTAGCTCTTTTAGTCTTTAACTACCTCATTTTTCTTTCTCCATCATCCCTTGTTCTTCTCTTTTTCCCTCTGGTTCTGTTTTTATTATTTTCCCCTGCGTCACAGACGAGATTTCATTGACCACTATGAATAACCCAAAGGTTCATGTGATTCATGGCTTTGGTGAGACTGTCTGGTGGGTGTGCTTTTGCAATGCAGCATGAATAGTTGTGTGTTGATGTGTTTAATTAGGGGAAATGAATCTTTGTTTGTGCACGAGAGAAGAAAAAAGAGAGAAGAAGAATGTGATGGAAGGAGATGCAAATAACGGAGATGAACTCTTGGCTCATTGCTGCTATTCTTGTTGATTCAGGCCGTGGAAAAACTCATCTGACAACCGTAGTCCCCATTTATGTGTTTTGCATGTCTGTGTATGTATGTGTATGTGCTTCTTTCTTACAGTGGGAATGGATAACTGGTTTGACAGCCCATTGTCTCCCTCGGGTTAGAGACTGTGGTTCAATGAGTTTGTCTCATATGCACACACATTACATCGAGATGCTCTGATTTATGCACACACACTCAGATGTACAGCAATCACACATGAGCGTACACCCCGACCCCCCCCGTTAAGCATAAATGCATTTACAGTTCTGCTCACATGAGGCGACGTGTGGATGTATGTATGCTGTAAATCCAAAACAACCCAACAGTCTTTACGGCACACACACACACACACACACACACACACACACACACACACACACACACTTGTTAGTGTGAATGCGTTTGAGCTGATTTGTAGGCTAAACCCCAGCCAGCCCATTCACCTCCATGCTGTGGCATGTAACATATTGTCCTAATCAATCCCTCGCACACTAAGAGGCTTTTTCAGTTGAACCACCCGGGGCTAGCTAGCAGTTAGCGAGTGCTTATCCCCTTTTCTTGTGGAGAGAGTAGGAGGCCTGCTCCCCGCAAGAATTTTATCTTTACAGCCGCAGAGTCTGGCTAAGAGGGCAGAGGCCGACGGGGAGGTGGAGAAGAAAAGACCTTGGTAGGATTTGTACCGGGGTCAGCAGGGGGTTCATGGAAGGGGTCTGGATCACTGCATGGGTGCCAGGCAGAGAGCAGTTTAAAGAGCAGGGCTTGGATTGAGAAAATAAAAGCAAAGCATCAGTGACTAAAATGAGCATCCAGAGGTTGCGATGAGGCTCATTGTGGCAAAATGACTTGATTCCAATGCATGAACAATTGAAGATTTTCAAAATGCCACTTGAAACCTCATATGACTGTATGTGGAAGCTGCCAAACATATTGTGTTGCTGCCCTTGGACTAGAATGCATTAATAAAGGATTACAAATTCCCTGTTTAGCTCTCTCTGCTCTTTCCTCTTTTTGTTTTTCTTTCTTGTTCGGTTTGAGTCATTTTCTCTCTTTCTCTGTCTCATGATTACAAGGATTACAAGTTCATTAAAGTTCTTTAATTTCAAGAAATTGAATACAGCAAATGTATTTTGTTGGCTTAGTATATATAATTTTTTACAAGGCACAATTGCAATGATTTGTCTCACTGGTTGAGAGCTGCTTGTTGACAACTAATCCAAATAAAAAGCCGTGGCTGAGAGGCAGGGACAATTCATGTCAGCCGCTGACGTGCTTTTAATGAACACATTTTTCACAAGGTGGTGCACAACAAGACATGGCTAACATACACTTCAAAACCAGTCAGGATCTAGGTGTGCTTTTGTAATGCTGTTGTTTGGCAGAATTTGTCCTGCTCAGGATTTCCTGCTGCTCTAAATTGCAAACTAGTCAGTATTTCAGTAGAAAGCCTCAAATGCACTTTCTGCTACATCAGTTTTATTTGTCAAATCCATCTGAAATTTAGTGGTAGCCTGGCTCTCCTGTGGAGTGTATTTGAATGTAGAGACATTCACACACAGAATTGGTAGCAACACTGATTTTTGTTTGGGGGGGAAAAATAGGGTGTCACAGCCACACAGTGACATTTATTTTACAAAGAGGTAAAACTTGAAAGTATAGGTTCAAAAGAAGTCTTGCAACAGTTGAGTTAGATGATCACAGAATAAGAGACGAATGTTAAGAAAAGTAATTCCACTCGTCCAATTTCAACTCAGTATTCTGAGACAGCCTGCAGGTCAGCAAGTACTGCACAGTGTTGAGACAGCGCTGGGCTCTAACCATCATCCTTTCATCTCTGTTTAAGTTTTAACGGATGGGGCAGTTCTCCCGGCTTGTTTTTGGTGAACCTGTGCTGGCCTGGCTGACCGGCCCTGCTCTCTCAATGCTGTTTTTCAGTGCTCAAGCAAAGAGTTACAGGTGCCTTCCACTGAATTTTAAACAATTAGAGAAGCGCTACTCAAGCTGCTGTGGTGTTCCTAAAGGCTCGCCCCCTAGCGATGCCTCCTGGTAGACGAGCTTTACGATAATGAGGAGCGCCTAGCTGAAAGAAGTTGGCTAAGACTCTGCCTGAGGCTTGATATCAAAGGCTCATAATTCAATTTTTTTTCTTTCTCTTGAATGAGCTTAAATGTCTCTTTTTGCTTTCTTTGTCTCTTTCTTAATTCTTCCTAGTTTCTTTTCTCTTATGTTTCTCTATAACCTTGTTTTAAATCGTTCTGACAAAAACAAAATGAGTGGGAGGAAAAAACATCAATCACAGCCATTTTATTTAAATAACACCAGATTCATTATGAAATATTACTACTGCTACTCCACTGTTATCTGAGTGGTCTCTCTCTCTCTCTCTCTCTCTCTCTCTTCACTGTCTTAGTTCAAGTCCCTCTTTAAGTTTCAATGCAAACATGTTAAGTTATTTTATTAGTTAAAACAATATTGGTTTTGTGGATGATGCAAAATCTCCCTCTTTGTCTCCTTTTTGCTGTCTCCAGGTATTGGGACTCAGAAAGTGCGAGTTGAGGAGGAGCTAGAGGCGTTTCCCACAGAGTCTGTTGATCTGCGCTGCCAATTCATCGATGGAGGAGGCCGAACCAAACTCACACAGGTAGGAAGATGGAACACAGCTTTGTGTTTTTAGTAGCTTTGGAAGCACTAAAACTGAAAGTAAGCTTGACAAGGTACTTATACCTTAAGATATATAGAGATATAATTAGACGACTGGTTTATTTGAAGGTCAAAAAGGTCGGTCTTTCTCCCATGACAGAAACAGCTACACTAGGTCCAAGTAAGTCCTAAATGGTCTTATTCACACTCTGTATGTGCATATTTTGGAAACAGAAAACAAGTCATTAAGTGAGTTTTAAGACACCTTAAGAATGAAACTGTCGAAATATTGTGTAATATAATGTTATTTAAATGTCCACAGAAGAGACCAAAAATGGCAGCAGACAAAAACATCCGATCTTCTCTTTTAGTTAAGTCATCTCATTGCGCCCTCTCCCTCTACATTAGTTTAATGTCACCCAACTGGAGAATTAGTGCCACCAACCGTTTATATCAATAACCAACTAATAATATTCGTGTAAAAGTAGATGGAAGTTGGTTATGATGGAAATGAGTTTCAGGAAATTTGGTTAAAACTGCGCTACATTTTAATGGAAACTTGACAATTGTTGCTTAACAAGCAGTTCATTTACATATTAGAGTTCTTTACTGGCCAGCTGTATGGCTTGGTGACTGTATGCATGTGTGGTAGCTCATGGACGTGTTCGGTTTAGCTTAGCATAAGTATGGAAGCAGGAGGGGAAACAGTTAAGGCCTGGTATTATTTAAAATGGGATGATTGCGCACATTTTCAGACAGTCAAAGGCATTCATTGTGTTGCACTTGTTTGTACACACAGAAATTGACAGAGTAATCATATACAGAATGAAAAAAGCGAGCTTAAGAGCTTTCAACCTGCATACTTTCTCACCTTCTCTCAGCTGGCCAGTCAACTGCTTGTGGGATTGTCAGTTTTGGAAAGAAACAATGTCAACATGTGCAAATGATTAACCTTAGGTGACCTGAACACTGAGCTGTCTATCTTCAATTTTCACACACAGCTCATTTCACTTTACATACAAGCTGATTCTTTAATCCAAAGCAACTTACAATTGCTATATACAGTAGGTCAGAGGTTGCGTGCCTCTGGAGCAACTACAGGTTAAGACAGGTGAGCGCACACGGCAAGTAAATGAGAACTTCTGATTATTTGGAAGTCAATTAATTTTATCAAACCCCAGGTGACAGCGTATTTGACACCACCTGAACTGTTCTGATGTACTGTGAGAACCAAGTAGACTAAATCCAAACACTATGAGCTGTTTGCTAGTTCAATTTGATCCTTGTGTGGTCTGTCCTCTTCTGAGTTGTGGATGGAATCAATAGGCAATTTGTTCACATATAAAAACTGAAATTGCTAAATTGCCCTCTACAATATCTCTACAATCTACAGCTAACGAGGGAGCCTCATCCACTAATTTGTGCTGACATTTGGGTTACATTCCATCTTCTTCTTAACAACCTTCAACCCTCTCTACCTTCTCCCTCCCTTTCCTGTAGATGTCATAAATGTAATAGATGTTGGCTAAACGTGTATTGATGAACTTTAGCCAGCAGTTTGTATTTAACACTGTCACTTTGAAAATGGAAGAGAACAAAATCAATTTGGTATAACATCACAGTATTCTCTTTCTTGTGGTAGTCTCATGCAGCCATAACAGTTATCAATATCTTTGATATATCACAAATCTAAAGAAAAACACCTGTAAGATGAATTTCTCTCAAATTATGTTTTTTAAAAGGCTGATCGTTGAGACAGTGTTTGCAAGTCTAAGACCTTTAATATCATCTGCAAAAGATTATTGGCTTCTTATTTAGAGAGCTTTAAATGAGTTTGACATTTTGCTATTATAAGCAAAATTATTTCAGGTTTGAAGGAAGATAGAAGAGCACAAATACCAATATTTGTTCAGGTAAATGTCAGAAATGATGGTGTATGTATATGCATATACTGCTGCTGCAATCTATTTCTGTAAACATGACTTTTTTGCATTATTAAAAGATCTGTTTTTTAAATATGAGATGAAAGGGACAGGAGCATGCTGGTGTTCTGAAAACAATGGAAAGTTAGTTATTGTAGTTTAGCTCCTGATTTCTGCCGACTTACCAACACGGTCATCAGTCGGACCTGCAGCACTGGCTATGACATGTGGAGGCAATAAACATGCTTTAAAACCCTTAGAGAGCATCATACAAACTACATAAGAACAATCAACCCCATACATTTCATTATCTCCAATGTCCATTGCAAATAAATGTGCTTATGAATCACAGAAAAATAAACCCCTTATGTTTTCTTCAGCATCAAAGTGATCAGAGGCAGTTGTCTGTACACTGCAAAAAAGAACCACTAGTAGATAATTCGGCACACTTTCAACTAGTTCTGGATATCGATCGAGCTTTGAACTTTTTGTACGCAACGTGGAGCCCAAATAATTGGAAGAGAGACTGATCCTCGCCGTTTGTGAGTTTCCAGAATCTATTACTAAAAAGGACATCAACAGGAGGGGATTCGCATGGCAGAGCATCCCCGTAAAACTAGACAAAGTTATGTAGCCTATAATTTTAACTTAAGTTAAATAGGCTACAGCTGTGTAGCGCACAGAAGCCGGTGCCATGGTTACTCTCCAAAGAGCACCTGCCGTTCACTTGCGGAGCGCTTGTCTCCCTGTCTGATCACCGGAGCAAAGAGCGACCCCGCGGGGCCAAGCGACTACGTTGTGATTTTAGAATGTTCCTAAGACCGACATTTTCCCCAATACTAATCAGCATGCAGTGCGTAGCTCTCCACTTCGCAATGGCATTTGATCGCTTGTCTTGCTTTTGTTTTTATCTACTTCTCCCACATGCTGCATCCAGCGTAGTCTGCCGAAGCCTCCCTCCACTGCTTGTTTGGGTGGGTGATTTGCTGGCTGATCAACATCCCACCCCTCCTGTGACCCATGGTTTGAATGTATGTGTATTCAGAGCCAGTGAGCAATGGACTTTCAAAAAAATAATAATAAAAACTGCATTAACGTGAGATAAAATAATTGTCGACGTTAACTGATTAATGTGTTAACGTGATAATAACGCTTTAACGTGCCCAGCCCTACTTTTAACCCTGCCAATTTGCCAAAATGAAGACAAATACAGGCTGAATAACAGGGCTCATGTTATAGCCGACAGTGTAACTGAATCAATGTCAACATCATATTTCCTGTTCAAGATTCCTCTCCAAGCTTTATGGTTGTTGGAGGGGAGGACACAGTTGTCTCAGTTTTGAATAAGGGAGACCCACAGTGTCTGCATTTGATGATCATTTGTGAACAATTAGTCATGCTTTTGAATTCAAAGTCAGATTCCTGCACACCTGGATCCCTGATTTTTTTTTTTATCGTATTAAGAAATTGTACTCCCATTGTTTTTTTTTTGTAAACAATAACCACGAGCTTTCACAAACTCTGTTCTTACCAGGTGTCTTGGATATGGGAACCTATTGATGGTCAAAGGGACAACATTGCTGTCTACCACCCTATCTATGGACAGAGCTTCCCCAACTTGTCCTTCAAGGACCGAGTTGTCTTCCTCCACAACAGTCTGGAGAACCCGTCCATTAGGATTTCTAACCTAAGAATGTCTGATGCTGGCCGTTATACTTGCGAGTACGCCACCTACCCTTCTGGAAACGAACAAGGGACAACCGCACTCATCATGCTTGGTGAGTAGAGATGTAATGTGTCTATGTAAGATTACATAGACCTTGTTTCTCTAACAGAAACAACAAGCTGCTGTATATTTCAGACATAGCATTTAGCTTTTCAGGTTTTTATCAAAAAAGGACCATAAAGGGCTAGAACACCAAAAGGTCAACAAGTATTTTCACTTTTCTGCAAAACAGGACCATGCTTCAAACAGGCTTTCGAAAGCTGTTCTGCTACGTCAGTCTTGACAAGCAGCTCCCCAGCCATCTGCTTATCGCTGCTTTCTATAAAAGAGGTTCCCATCGGACCCAAAGCTTAAGAAGAAGCAATTTAATGCATTTGATGAGTATTCTCAGGGTATGTCCTGTTTAGATGCAGAATGAAAAACAAGAAGATGGGGGAGAAAGATTCTAAATCAGAATTGGCACTATATGTAAAGCATCACACTTTATATTATAGATACACTTTTCATTTAGACAAATGTGTTGAAGTGATTTGATCAGCAGGCAGTCTGCAAACTGGAAGTCTTTGTTCCAGACCCCTCTCAGGTTCAGCCAACATATTTTTAAGCTCGTTTCACTATTGAGTTTTACTTTGTTTCAGTAAATGACTATAATTATTATTATATAAAAGGAAATACCTGGATTTGTTGGTTGTTGATGCAACTTCCATGTTGAATCGCATTTAGAAAATGGATGTATATGTGCAAAAAGCAGATTAGGCTCACTTAAATGGCTTGTAGTAATTTATTTTCAAACAGTATCTGGGTCACTGGATCACTTTAGTGTTTCGGCACAGTGACACCCAGAGGTGACAGGTTAGCATCCCTTTTGCTGTTATGTAATTTTTTACTTGTTGCTTTTGTTGACTTGCTCAAACAACATTGTATTGTACATTGTATTATCCTGGTGAGTGGTTCAGAATAAAAGTAATTTAATAGATGCTCTGCAGATGTTGACTTTTGCCACAATGACAATAATAGCCATTATGCAGTAATGTTTTTACACAATTGCATCATCATGGTCAACCTCTTGAACTTTTTGACATATTTGAACACTTAAACATTTAAATTAGATTAGAGTTAGGTTTGTTTTGATTATATGACCGGATTAATTACTTTATAAGGACCCTTATTGTGATAATCAGTCAAAGACGATTAGCATAATCTGGCCATAGACAATTCTTGTGCATGTAAATGTACACAGTAGCAGTTGCATACAATCACTTGACATTTCCCTCTCAGGAATCCTGCTTCATACTTCTATTATGATTTCTATTATTCTATCACACTTGCAGGAATTGTATCAGGATGTATCAAACTATGAGGTGGCCTCCCCAAGGGGGTGCAGGAGATTTGAAGGGGGGATGCAGAGGGAGAGACTTGAGGCAAAGACCATGTGTGAGGTGACAGAGACAGGTGCAATGCAATATCCTGAAAACAACGAAGTAAGTTACTGTACTCTGGCCTGGTGATTTGACACACAGCTCATGGTGGCAGTTAGGGTGCTTTAAAACCAGTTTACATCAAAGATCACACTCCTTCACGCATTCATAATGCCGTCACAACACACAGATTTACACATAATGTATATATTTTTATATTCATCTAACTTTGACTTCTTTGACACTTTCTGATTATTATGTTTGACGTCCAGCAATCCATTCAGAAATCATAGGGAAATGATGCTACTTATAACTCCAGAGCTTGCCTGAGAACCTGAAAATTTCCCAAGTATCAAAGTAATCCACTGACATCTGTCTTCACATCCTTGGGTACATTGCGAACAGGAACAGCTAATAACTAATTCAGCAATCATTCAAATTTTCCATAATCCAAAAGAAATATAAGCAAAATGTGCCTCAATTTGTAGCCCACTGCTAACTCCTGTTTTAGTACTGACCTCTACCAAGGTCAATTGTCCAATCTTCAATAATATACTGCAAATCTGCCAGGGCAACCACTATATACTACTATATGTCTATTAGAATTCCAGTATGTCAAAATGGGGTTGTGCCCAACTGAAGCCTCATCCTCTCACCTGTGCATTTATTATGTACTATGCACAGGTTGGAAAATCTGGAATTCCAGATTCATTCAGGAAAAATCACATTCTGATTGGTTGTTTTTTTTCTTCTATACATACCTGCTTCATTTGTTTCTCCAGTGATATTTGAGGTAGCCGCCATGTTTGGTTGGATGTGTTGTCACGGCACACCATTCACTTTAATTAAAACAGTAACAAGCATGAGCGACAAATTCAGCTCGTTTTGTTATACAATTTGCCTATATTGCAATGTTAACGAAAGTGAAAAATAATTAGTGTATGGATTCTTCTTGTCCTGTCAAAATGGTTCTTAAATAACTGGAACACTGACACCCTCCTCTACCATACAGATATTTGTCTTGTGTTGAAAGTGTGGGGACATAATAAACAAAGCTCAAACAATGTGTGTGTGTGGGGGAGGGGGATAATCAGAATGTGGTTAGACACTATACACCTGCTAACTTTTTTTCTCTGCACAGTTTAATTCCCAATTACCAACAGGCTGAACCATTTAGAAAATACAACCCACAATGTGAAATCTGGATAACTGCTTAAAGTTGCCTCACTGTTTTGATTTTTGAAACTGAGTGGATGTTTTGTTACTGTTAGCAGCTGACGTATCCTGTTTATAATCAGAGACAGCTTGTGTTATTCATCCACCCACATGTCCTCCTGTTTGCACTCCGCTTACAAATGAATCAGATGCATGGTGTGTCTCTCGCAGTTAACAGCACACAGGCGGCTTCATGCTTGAATGCAAATAACGATAGTTCCCATACTGTGCTTACAGTATATGGCCTGTAGCATCAGTACAATAAAGAGCTCATACACTCAGAGCTCCTATGATAATGGCAGGCTCAAGGGACGATCTAAGAGGATGCACTTTGAACTAAAACACTGTATTTACTGAAATCACATTCTGTGCAGTTTAATGCAGTCCGCCTGGTGCTTTTTCCTTTTTTTTTTCATATGAGTTTTGTTTGGCAGGATGAGATTTGGGAGACATTTGAGACCTTTTTTCCTTTTTCCTGTACAAATTGGGTGCAATTGCATAATATTTTATTTATTTGATCCCAGTTCACTCAAAGGAATAAGTGAAAGAAAGCTGCATTTCTGAAGTGTGGTGAGTGACACTGTGTAGTTGCTGCCTCAAATGAGGGTTTGGGGATTCCTTATCTGCTACACTAAACTACTACACATAGACAATCCTTTAAGTCACTCTGGAGACACTGTAAGCAGGCAATAATTAAAATTAATTACAGTACCTCAGTAATTTAAGAGGTGAAAACTGCACCAACACTTGTAAGGAATTGGATCTTCATCATGGTCATCCATGACTGATGAAGGCCACAAGCCGAAATACAGTATGTTGTTCTTTATGTGTTGCTGGAGTTTTAACCTCTTCTGACTTTTTCCCTTCTCCATGCACCTTGGAAGGGGGTGAGGTTGTTACAGAAATCCCGGCTCTGCTATCCCAGTTGTTGCAGCCAGTGTGCTTAATGAAAAAACGGGTTTTACAATTCCTTTTGTGCTCCCCCAGCTGGGCCAGTAATGTTTTCCACATAAGTAAACCTTCACACAACAATAAAAAATGCACTGTGGAAGCTTCCCTCACATAGAACAGAGCACACAGGAGATGCAGAACTTGGCTGTATTGTAGAGAAAACACGGTGAGATATTTTGGCGCCCTTGCAGATGAATGGGAGCTAAGCCTCCTAAACTGCTGCTCCTGGCACAAAGCAAAGGGAGACTGGGAAATACCTGCTGGAAAGCTCACTGAGTCGCCTTTTGTCTGGAGTTACACCAATTCCAAGCTCTCCGCGACAGATACTGGTGAACCAAGTATCTCAAAGTCATTGGAAGACAGTCATATTTTACCTTATTGGATATAGACTCTATATGAGCCTATCACATTAAAGCTTATTGAATCCACAACTGCTAGCAGCCAATCATATTACATCTTATTGGATATAGAATCACCAGCACCCAAATCATATCACAACTTATTCAAGTATGAATATATAATCCTGACAGCCAATTGTATTATAACTTATTGGATACAGCACCACCGCCAGCCAATCTTATTACCACTTATTGGGGTGTGAATCACTCACTTGGCAGTGAATGATACCATATAATCTTAGATGGGGACCACTGAAAATGAATGGTCGCCAATTATACTGCAACTTATTGGATATAGTGTAGCCAGCAGGACAGAAATACAATTGCAGCTGAGGGAGAGTCTGGTGGATCAGGAGCCTGTTATAAGTGTTTTAAACCCTCAGAGTTAAAAAAACAAAAATAAATAGTTCTCAATGTTTTGAATTTGAAGAGGGAAACAGTGAGAGTCCAGAGGTTAGAGGAGTGGACTACAGACTGGAGGGTCACTGGCTGGAGTCCACAGATTGAGAGTGAGTAATTTGGAGTGCAGCATCTGCAAACATTTTCTTAGGGTGGAGCCAATTTATTTATTTTTTCTGGCAAAGTAACTTTAATGAAGCCCAATGAAAAGGCAACAAGCAGACAATAAAATGAAGAATAGCAATGTGGCCACTTCTTTCAAATGCAGTTTAGCCACAAACCATGTCCTGAATACGCACCATAGTCTAATTATTTTTTCAAGGACGTATTAAGCTCCATCTAGAAAAATCACACTATTGTTTCACTTAAGTATACAGTACAAATGTAATTATTATGTACATGAACCACCATTTGATGGTGTGTGTATATATATAAAAAAAATGCCAAGAATCATTCTACTACTGATATTCCCTGTTGCCAAATTGGCAATAGGGAATATCAGGTTTTTATTGTTGTTCAACTCAGCTAATGAGACTTTTTCTACCTATGGGGCAGCTCTGCATCTTAAAAACGTTTGTATGATTAAAATGTCTGTTTTATATATATTCTAGCCAGTGAGCCACCTGCTGAACAAAGGAAAAAATTAATGCTCTCCTCTTCTTCGACATCTG